TGTGTGTGGAAAGGAACAGAGGAACGAGGAGAAACATGACTGAGCACATTATATGCATAGGTGACAAGGTCACATGACGCTACTCTGCACAATATGCTAATGAGAGCAAATGCAGAGCAGAGCTGATGACCCTTGTGGTCACGAGCCTCATTCTCAAGTCTTAGGCTGTCATGAGTAGCAGGGCTGTTTTTCTCTCTTAACCTAGCTCATCCTAGAGCACAGGTTGAGGGTAATTTTCTCTATGGCATGGTCTTTATCAAGTTCTCACCGTGAAATGAGCTCCCTGCCCAAATTTCCCATCTGCTGGGCCAGGCTTCCCTGTGCTTTGGGTCTGAGGGAATCCACTCTGCATGTGCTCACATCCAGACCACACACTGGGCAGAAACGACACTGGTGGTCACAAGGCCAGAAAGGGTGCATACAGGTCATGGTATAGACTCAGTTGTTTTTCAGGCAACACTAACATCACCAGCGTCTTCAGACAAGGGAAGTTTTGGTTAATCCAAGGCTCTGGGCTTTCATCAGCTGCAAGAAACCACAGTGTAGAGGATGAAGAGTGTTTGTAAGGTTTTCAACAGTGCTGTGTGGCCAAGGCTTTAATAGAACTTGGCTTTCTGTCTTCTTACACTGACACCCTCTCAACCATGGGGACTCTGCTCATGGAGAATTGGATTTTGCCGATTAAAACATTTGGTATTTTATTTTAGGGGGCAGGACTGTAACTTTGGGAATTTTATGCTTTGGAGAGCTTGGTCTTGAGAGATTTCAATATTTGAGTCTCTAGTGTTCAGAAATGGGGCTCAGGATTATGAGTGTAGCATCCCACACGGTGCTCACACAGTCTGGGACTCTGCTTGCAGACACTTTATTGTAAAGCACGTGAGAGGACACAGAACAGACCTATGACCCTAACAGTGGTGGAGATGGGACTTGGGTCACAGCAGTCAGTGAATGGAGGGTTGGTGTTTACTGAGAACAGCTCTCCAGGAGCTCTCTTCCCCCACAGGATATCCCAGTGTTTCCTCAGCCTTTCCTGGGTCACTGTCACAGTCAGGATTCTCTAGCACAACAAAATTTATACACTGAATCTATCTAGATATGTATCCATCTGTGCATCTATGTATCCATCTGTGCACTATGTACTCACCGTAGAACACAGGTTTCTCTGTGGCATGGTCTTTATCAAGTTCTCACCGTGAAATGAGCTCCCTGCCCACCTTTTCCATCTGCTGGGCCAGGCTTCCCTGTGCTTTGGGTCTGAGGGAATCCACTCTGTGCATCTATGTATCCATCTGTGCATCTGTGTATTCATATGTGCATCTATGTATCCCTCTGTGCATCTATGTATCCATCTGTGCATCTGTGTATTCATATGTGCATCTATGTATCCCTCTGTGCATCTATGTATCCATCTGTGCATCTGTGTATTCATATGTGCATCTATGTATCCATCTGTGCATCTATGTATCCATCTGTGCATCTGTGTGTCCATCTATGCATCTATGTATCCATCTGTGCATCTGTGTGTCCATCTGTGCATCTATGTATCCATCTGTGCATCTATGTATCTCTCTGTGTATCTATGTATCTGTCTATGCATCTATGTATCCATCTGCAATTCTATGTATCTGTCTGTGCATCTATGTATCTATCTATAGAAAGGGGATTAATTAGAATAACTCACAGGCTGTGGTCCATCAAATCCAACAATGTCTGACTATAAAAAAAAAGTCCAAAAATCAAGTAGTTGCTCAGTCAGTCCACCAGGCTGGATGTCTCAGGTCTTAAGTATATGCTGGAATCCTGAAGAAGTCGGCTCTAATGCCAGGGAAGGAATGGACTTGCTAGTGAGGTAAGTTCTAGGCGGCCAAGAGAAAAATCTTGCTTCTTTCACGTCCTTGTATAGACTTCCAGCAGGTGTGGCCCAGATTAGAGGTGGCTTTCTCCAGCTCAAATGTTCTGGATTAGGGGTGTGTCTTCCCACCTCAAAGATCCAGATCAGAAATTGACCTTCTGACTTCAAATTAAGCAAACGTCCCTCACAGGGGTGTCCTCCATTTATTAGTGTTAGTTACTTTCACATGTGCTCAGGTTGACAACCAAGAATAGATGTCCTATTTTGTTTCAGAGTTCTGGAAACTTCCCTGGTTCCAAGCTTTTTAGGTCCTTTTGGCCCTCATGGCTCTGCCTCCTCCCTACCCTCTTTCAAGAAGTTTTCTCTCACAGGTGGAAAAGGATGGAAAGTTCCATCTGGCTGTAAGTTTGACAAGGGCAGGACAGCCTCAGACCCAAGACCCTTGGAGTTGTATAGACAGGAGCCTGTGGCAGCTCAGACACACATGGTCCTCCTTTAGCTTTATCTCATGTGGGCCCAGATCAGTCCTGTTTTTACCCAGTCCTGTTTTTTCCTGTTTCTATTGCCCTAGACTCTAAGGCTTCTCTTTCTTCTTAGAAAGGAGAGATACTGGATGGGCTGAAATGGGAGAGAAGATGAGGACGGGGACATCACTAGCTACAGGAACTTTCCGGATGTTCGGAATGTCGTAATCTGTTACAATTAGCATTCAAGTGACTGACTGGAGTTTGTCTTGTTCAGCAGCAATTAAAAACCAACTCAAGGCTCAAGTGCAAAGAGGAGCACATACGGTGTCTTCTTCCTGGAATGGGGTTGTGATTCACTGTGCACAGTAGGTCCATAAAATGACATCTTTCTGGGTTTTTAATTTTATACTATGTCCCGCGCGCGCGCGTGCTCTGTATATCCCTTATAAAGGCTGACCAGCCACCTGGGACGTGTTACCCTATGAATGGCTTCAGCTCCTCAGGCAAAAATGAGCCACGGGATAGGCAGAGATCAAAGGAATGGAGATTACCCAGCGCCTGTGAAGTAATTTACAACTTGGTGTCTTCCGGCACCTATTATAGTAATGGATAATGTAGGAACCGGCTTCCTACAGCACAGTAGGTCCATAAAATGACATCTTTCTGGGTTTTTAATTTTATACTGTTTTGCTATTTTCATTTCAGGACAGTCTATTTCAGTCATCAGTGTCTGTCCTGTTCCAGCTGTGACTTCACTAACAGGTGATTCAATGTTGACTAAACAGGACTGTGCCCTCAGCCTGGGTGTCACACTCCAGACGTGTAGGAGAGGGAGAGGGAGCCATTGCAGCACTTTTCAAAATGTATTTTTAATTTATATTTTTATTAGGGGTGTGTGTGTGTGTGTGTGACCGTGTGAGTGTGTGTGTGCGTGATGGTGTGTGTGTGTGG